TCAAAATGCTACTCCTCCTACAGTTTTGGTCTGATTTCAATATAACTTGGCACAAAAGTAGATTACACTAAGATACATAATTCTCTGCATCGGTTTTTGATTTCGATGAACGGTGTTGCCGTGGTTACTAAAAATAGAAATTTCTTTGAAATTCATTCAAAATGCTACTCCTCCTACAGTTTATTTCCAATTTCAATATTACTTGGCACACAAGTAGACTACACTAAAATACATAATTCTGTGCATCGGTTTTTAGCTCTACTGGTCAGAGACCAGAAGAGCTTATGCGATAGTTATGCGTCCGTCGTCCGTCCGTCTGTCTGTCCGTCTGTAAACAATTTTTCAACATGCTACTCCTCCTACAGTTTTGGTCTGATTTCAATATAACTTGGCACACAAGTAGACTACACTAAGATACATAATTCTGTGTATCGGTTTTTGATTTCGATGAACGGTGTTGCCGTGGTTACTAAAAATAGAAATTTCTGTAAAATTCTTTCAAAATGCTACTCCTCCTACAGTTTTAGTCTGATTTCAATATAACTTCGCACACAAGTAGACTACACTAAGATACATAATTCTGTGTATCGGTTTTTGATTTTGATGAACGGTGTTGCCGTGGTTACTAAAAATAGAAATTTCTGTGAAATTCTTTCAAAATGCTACTCCTCCTACAGTTTTAGTCTGATTTCAATATAACTTGGCACACAAGTAGACTACACTAAGATACACAATTCTGTGTTTCGGTTTTTGATTTCAATGAACGGTGTTGCCGTGGTTACTAAAAATAGAAATTTCTGTGAAATTCTTTCAAAATGCTACTCCTTGTACAGTTTTAGTCTGATTTCAATATAACTTGGCACACAAGTAGACTACACTAAGATACAGAATTCTTTGTATCGGTTTTTGATTTTGATGAACGGTGTTGCCGTGGTTACTAAAAATAGAAATTTCTGTGAAATTCTTTCAAAATGCTACTCCTCCTACAGTTTTAATCTGATTTCAATATAACTTGGCACACAAGTAGACTACGCTAAGATACACAATTCTATATATCGGTTTTTGATTTCGATGAACGGTGTTGCCGTTGTTACTAAAAATAGAAATTTCTGTGAAATTCTTTCAAAATGCTACCCCTTCTACAGTTTTAGTCTGATTTCAGTATAACTTGGCACACAAGTAGACTACACTAAGATACATAATTCTGTATATCGGTTTTTGATTTCGATGAACGGTGTTGCCGTGGTTACTAAAAATAGAAATTTCTGTGAAATTCTTTCAAAATGCTACTCCAAATACAATTTTAGTCTGATTATAATATAGATGTGGCATGCAAGTAGACTGCACTAAGAACATATAGAGACTTAATCAAGGATCATTATTCTATTTATTGCTGTTGAAAAGTTTCAATTTCCAACTGCTTAAGTACTTTTCTCTTCCTTTGCTATAAGTACAAACCAGTAGAGCTTCAGTCTCGACAGAGACTTCTGGTTGATTTCGATGAACGGTGTTGCCTTGGTTACTAAAAATAGAAATTTCTTTGAAATTCTTTCAAAATGCTACTCCTCCTACAGATTTGGTCCGATTTCAGTATAACTTGGCACACAAGTAGACTACACTAAGATACATAATTCTGTGCATCAGTTTTTGATTTCGATAAACGGTGTTGCCGTGGTTACTAAAAATAGAAATTTCTGTGAAATTCTTTCAAAATGCTACTCCTCCTACAGTTTTGGTCTGATTTTGATATAACTTGGCATACAAGTAGACTACACTAAGATACATAATTCTGTGCATCGGTTTTTGATTTCAATGAACAATGTTGCCATGGTTACTAAAAATAGAAATTTCTGTGAAATTCTTTCAAAATGCTACTCCTCCTGCAGTTTTGGTCTGATTTCAGTATAACTTGGCACACAAGTAGACTATACTAAGATACATAATTCTGTGCATTGGTTTTTATTTTGATGAGTGGCAAGGATCATTTTTCTATTTATTGCTGATTTAAAGTCTCAAGTCCCAACTGCTACTTTTCTCTTCCTTTGTTTTAAGTATAAACCAGTAGAGCTACAGTCTCGACAGAGACTTCTGGTTTATCTATAGATAGCAGAGACCAAAAAAACAACTCAACTTACTTTCAGAGCTATCATAGAGTAACCAAATAGAAATAAAAATATATTATATTTTCCTCATATCTAAATTGATAATATATGATCGATATATCTAAATGTCGAGTTGAAGAACATAGCAAGTTTGTTTTCTTTTAGTGGAGATTTTAAATATTTTCTGTTTCATAGTAAAATATTTATATCTTCCAAATCTTTCTCCTTGCAAAGATTTTATGACAAAATACACGATTGTTCATTTTCTCATGAACTGCCAAGGATAAGCATAATTATCTCCATTCATTGTTACTTAGAAGTCAATGTACTTGACGACAAATCAATAGTGCAAATTGTTTTGCTTGAAAAATGACAGCTGAATATCTAATTTTTGGCAACTCAGAAAAATATAATGTAAATAAAAAAAAATAAATTTAATTTTTGAAAATTCAAAATTCATGAAGTACATATACTCTAACGCTTAACGCCAGCACGTGCTCACACGCCTCATGAAATATTCCGGCGTGAAGCATCGTAGTTTATGTCCTCACTGGATCAGATGCCAACGAGGAGTGAGCATCCCCTGCCGACCGGTCACGCCTGTCGTGTGCTCCTTGTCACGATCGGGAAATTACGAGGGAAAATCCGTGGTCATCTCAGAGTGTAAAAAATGGTCTAACAATCAGTATGAAAATTTGACTCAATGATAAACTGTATTAGCTGACTAGATAATTGTAACGACCATAAATCTAACTTACAAAATGATGACATAATACGAGACTGCCGATATTCTTACTTCATCAACTTGTTTGTCAATAACTTACCTACTTTTGGAAATTGTACATACGTAGAACATGCTCTTGCAAATCGAATCAACTGAGAGATATTAACTCCGTATGCAGGTGATAAAGGTATATTCCTGCATAAGAAAGGGAAGTTGACGATTGAAAATTTAAAGTCATCACTTTTTTCAGAGCTTGGTTGTTAGATAACAATTACGGTCTCTTTCTAGTATGAAACAGATGTGTCAGATTCTGTGGTATCTTTTATTTCAAGCTCACTGGGATATATCGTGTCGACATAAGAATGGAAATAACTATAACTGTTAATTGACAATACGTCGTCGATATACATGTATCTAAATGTGAAGCTTAGTTGCAGGCCACATCGATGTTTTCTTTTCACATATAAGATTTTAAACAAATTTTGCATACGAGTAAATACAAAAATAGGTCTGCTTGTAACGGGGTCAACTGGTACCCATGGGAATGCCAAAAGATTGTTGGAAGACCTTAATTGTCTCCAAAAACAACATAAATATTATCAAACAGAAATTCGTCATCTTTTCAATATTTCAAGAGTACTTGTGTGTACACCAGAATGTTTTTAATAAATTAATTTTGCAAAAAAACAATGATAAGTGAATCTATGAGTTCCATTTTTATTGAAAAAGCAGTGTCAATGGGGTTAGAAAGTCTGGACTTTAATTTATCGTGGGGAATAGTTGTATATAGAGTTAAAAGGTTGTAAGTTTTTATGTTGTTAATTTTGGTAAAATTTTGACATTTCAAATGTTCCAAAACCTTCTTTGAAATTTTTAGTATCCACATCAGACATCAACCTAATATTATTTGTGTGTGGAGTCAGATTGATCTTCAGTAAGGTGTCTAAGAGGCCATATTTTAACTATGTTGGAAAAAAATTCTTCTTATTACATATATAGAATGATTTTTTTCTCTCCTAGAATAAGATATAAATGTTTTAAAAATATGAATTTGAAGAAAAATTACTTCAACTCAGGCACGTAGCAACAGGGGGGGCCAGGGGGGGCCTGCCCCCCCCCCCCCCACTTTTTCCCCCAACATTACCTATACTATAGAAAATGTCCATTGAGAAGATGGTTGGCCCCCCCCCACTTTTGACCGGAGTATATTCATAGCAAGGTAATATAGGAAAAAAATGGAAGTGAAAGGTAGTTGGCCTTAAAAAAAATTGACCACTATCCCCCCCCCCCCCCCCCCCCCCCCCCCCCCCCCCACGAAATAGGATTTTCGAGTTTGGACAACTTTTGATTTTGTTTTTTTTGTTTGTTTGTTTGTTTTTTTTTTTAGGTAAGTAAATGAAATTTTCTCAGGTTGGCCCCCCCACTTTCAAAAACGATGCTACGTGCCTGCAACTTATTGTGATTTCAAAATGAAGAACGAAAGTGAAAATTTCTAAAACGTGCACGTGAGAAGTGTCTTTTTATGTAATTTTTATTGTTTTATATCACACATGTGCATGTTTGCTTATAATTATTAAATATAATTCATACTAAGATTGTTTTTACCTAAATTGTTAACAAAATTTGTTTTTGAAAGAAAGGAGAGGCATTTGTCTAAAAAAAAAAAAGGAACAAAGCCAGTCTCCACCTAAACTTATAAGGTCTATGTTTACAATTTTTACACTTAATTTGCTTTTTTGTCCTAGAAAGGTCATCAAGCTACAAAAATTATCAATTCCTATTGATACCGAAATGTTATTTTCTAGAATTTTTTTTTTTTGTGATTCTTATCAATGGACTTTCCCATTTCTGATTACGTCAGTGACATAGAAAGAATTAAGGGTAAAGCAGTTTGTCTGTTTTTAAAAAAGTTGAATTTCCTTTCCAAATATAACTATTTACAGAGTGTTCAGAAAATCAAGAAATCGTTACTTGTTACAAAAAATATATGCCCTATGAATTGAATAATAATTATGCAAATTCGGACCTAAAAATATTATGAATACAATTTTTCTCTTTAAAACAATGACAGCCATAGATAAGGAATAGGACTCCACATCATTTATTTCTAGGTACGATGATTTATATCTCTCAATCTATAATATCTCTCAATCTAGGTTATATTTCTGTTCCAGGTCACCGGAGATAATAAAATCACCAGAAGCATTAATTGCCAATTTGTCCTTTGGATGCAATACTGATATTACATATGCCATCGATCCTTTGTCTGTGCTCCATGGAAATCCAGCACATTTCGTTTCGTTAAATGAGAGTCAGCCTCTTTTAATTACGGCAGACAATGTCAACATCTTCCTGCAGCCTATGTTTAAAGGTGTAATCAAATCATGTTCCATCGTTAAATTTTATTAAAAAAAAAAATTTCCCCTTTTTTTATGTTCATAAAATTCATATTATTAAAAACAGTCATTTTAAGTGTTTTAAACAAGCATACATGGTGTATCGTGACTTTGCTGTATTTTGACTAAATCTCTTTTCAGACATTGATTGTATATCAAAGCATCATTGTACTTGGTCGGCATATAATATTCACTGGAGTACTGATCGAGGTAAGTGGTTTGTAATGTACAGGTGTGTTAGTAGGAATAACATTTTTCCTAGCGAAAAGTTAATTTTTTGGACATGTTTCGTATTTAATCTTGTGAATCTGATTTCAGAAAAAATACTGCTTATAATTTCTTAGATGTACCTTGTATATAATCTGATTTCTATACGTCGGATTCATAGGGATGGGGGTGTAGGAGGCTTGCCCCCCTTTTGTGTCTAAGATATACACAAGAATGAATAAATCAATTTTTCTGGTGTCATTGGGGCCTCTAACCAGACCCAAAACTGGTCAGGCCCCCCTTTTCAAGATTCCTGGATCCGCCACTGACTCGAGACAGTGAGGTAACTGATTACTATCCTTCATAACCCGTCCAACGGTACGTGGGTTTTTGTGTGTAAAATTGTGATATACCATAGACCATATAAAGCGTTGAACTAACTTTGTTAAATAAAATCCACAAATAGATAAGAATATCTAATATTTATCTTCATCTAAAAGAGTTTCTCGACACCAAAAATACCTAGATAATGAAACATATGGAGATAACGAACAGTATTCAAGATCAAAAGTTCACAAAACAATACAAAACGGGAGCAGAGCAAATACGGGCCTCCAAAGCATCAGAGGTGGGATCGGGTGCCGTGGAGGAGTGAGCATCCCCTGTCGACCGGTCATACCCGTCGTGTGCTCCTTGTCATGATCGGGAAATAACGGAAAAATTCGTCTCCAATTCAGTGTATAAATAATGAACTAACAATTGGTATGAAAAACGTAGTCAGTATTTGACTCAATGCTAAATTGTATTGACAGATAAGGTCATTGTATAGACCATAAAACTTACGAAATTATGACTTTAAACGAGACTGCTGATATTCTTGTTCCTTCAACTTGTTTGTCAATAATTTACCTCGTTTTAGAAATTGCCCATACGTAGAGCAGTGTCTTGCGTATCAAATCAACTGAGATATGTAAACTTCGTATGCAGGTGATATATAGAAGGTATATTGCTGCATAAGTATGGGAAATTAATCAATTCAAGTGCTCTCCTGCTCAATGATACTGTGTTGTGTTTGAGCATTTTTCCAGGGTGTACATAATTATAAATGTCAAGTACCATAAATTGAATGTAGATAAGTTTAATAGTTACATCTTTTATTCAATATAATTCAATGTCCAAAAACATTTGCACTAGTGTATATAGAACCCTTACCTTAAGTCTAAAAAAAATAAACAGAAAGATAAAAATCAACAGTAATTGCAAAATTAGTAAGGCGTTCTTACGTAAGTCCAGGTTACCAGCAATTAATATGTCGGTCATACATTGAAGTTGCACTTTTATCTGTAAAAGTATATTTAATTAATCAATTATTTTGTACTGATCCATGTTGTCTTGAATACTAATTAAAGAACACACTCTTGGTACTGTTGGAAGTGATCTAAAAATTGTAGTTTAATGTTTGTTGGTAAAAGATTACACCATGATTAAAGAAAACAAGATCCCCAGATCTTGCAATTATTTAAATTATATTTGCGACAAGTACTGAAACACCCTTTACTTTAATTTGTACGATATTATGATCGACAAATATAGATCTGACATGCTGTTCTTGATATGCGCCATAAATCTAGTAGCTTGACACTTGGCACAAATTGTTCATATCGGTATCAGATACATTTTAAATAGTGGAGGGGATTAAATAAACCTATTAACGTTGGTAGTTTGTGGCATCTCAATATAAAAAAAAAATCTAGAATAGATTTTGAACATTCATTTATGATAACCTCTGAAAACAGGTAGGATCGGGCATGTTGGAGGTGAAAGCAATCCCGCACTACCGCCGTGAGCTTGTTTTCATGATCGGATAAACAAACACATTCACAGACAATAAGTGCGACAATCATACACTGTACATATAGCCCAACGATTCGTACATGTATGAAGGACATCATTCAATGTTCATTCAAATTAAAGGCACAGATTTTTTGGCTGTAGAATTGGCGAAATTTTGACTTTAAAAGACGTTGATTATGTTCCTGTATCATCATTTTATTTATCAATAGCCGGCCTCATTGTAGAAATTGTTAAACATGCTATACAGATTCGAAGAACTTGGTGACATAAACTCGAAACACACTCATGGAATAATTGTATATTGATACGTACTGACTAATTAGAAAATTTGACGATAAAAACTGTATTGCGTTGATCGTGAAATTTAGTTTTTGTTCCCAATCAAGTCTTTCTCTAGTAGAGCAACTAAATTAGAAGTTATGCTGAACTCTATTGTGAACTTTATTTTGAATTCATTGAGAAACATGAACATGGAATAAATAAGCATCTAGGCATGAATACGCGTATCGGTTGTTACTTGATAAAACTTCTGTGAAATCTGTAATATATCGGTATAGTTAATACCTGTTTAAACAAAATTTGAATAAAAGTACAAATATAGTATATATAATGCGATATTCTTATTAGCAAGATCGCCCGCGTTGCGCAGTGGTTATAGAACGTCTGCTCTAGAGTCGCGAAGTATAAAGAATCCCACCGGTCCAGATGAAACCGTATAAACCTAGGTCCCGTGTCGCAGTAGGCGCTGGTACGAAAAAGACCCCTCATTTTTCAATGGCCGCAAGTGCCAAGTATAGGACAAAATTTGCAGCTTTCCATCGGCAAGTGGTGCGTCTCCATATGAGTGAAAAATTCTCGAGAGAAACATTAAACAACCTACATGCAATCTTCAGTCAATCTTATTAGCAGGATATAATATCTGAGCACAGTTTTTAGGATAAGAAATATAGTTTTCTCCGTATCTAGAGTACATGTATCAATTCTTTTGAAGGAATGCAGAGTCACTTAATTAATCTTTTATTATCAAATATTTTTCAATATTCATTTGAAGTTTGTAGAATATTAAATTCTAATATTTATGGTGTAATGATTTAGATATATACGTGCATGTATATAAACACACCTTAGATTTACATGTAACAGAAAGAACTCCATTGAATCTACATAAATTCTATGTAGCACAATTGAACTCCTAACGTTTTTTTTCAGCCTGTCTAATACAATGTATCAGTCTATAGAATCAAATCATCTGTAATCCCTGATGACGTCAATGTAAGACAAATCAGATTGGTGACCGGAAGTATTTTGAAAATTAAATTATCAGGTCTACTGAAGTGTGAATTTTTATTCAAGCGGGGGGAGGGGGGTATATAGAAATCGGTATGTCCGTCCGTCCGTCTGTTACGTTTCTGGATACCCATCTCTTATCCGCAACTCCTCTCATACAACTGAATGAAATTGAATGAAACTTTCACAGAATCTTTATTACATATTGCCATTGTGCACTGTTACAACGCACTTTGAAAAATTACGCACTTTGAAAAAAAATTTCAAAGTGCGTTAAAATTGGGACCAAATCAACGCACTTTGCAAAAATAAAATTTCTTTTCAAAGTGCGTAAATAAATATCGACCATATTAACGTACTTGGAAGAAATGTGTATGACTTGGTCAATATTCTTAAAAATCTTAGATATGATAAATAATTGAACCTGTTTGATAACTCTTTGGTGATGAGGTCACTTAAAAATGTGGAAGTGAGCGATTTTGATTTTTCCATACTTTCCATAATTCTTTCTCTCTGAAATGTTTTACTCTACTTAATTTTTAGCTCTACTGGTCAGAGACCAGAAGAGCTTATGCGATAGTAATGCGTCCGTCGTCCGTCTGTCTGTCTGTCTGTCTGTAAACAATCTTTCAAAATACTACTCCTCCTACAGTTTTGGTCTGATTTCATTATAACTTGGCACACAAGTAGACTACACTAAGATACATAATTCTGTATATCGGTTTTTGATTTTGATTAACGGTGTTGCCGTGGTTACTAAAAATAGAAATTTCTGTGAAATTCTTTCAAAATGCTACTTCTCCTACAGTTTTGGTCTGATTTCAATATAACATGGCACGTAAGTAGACTACACTAAGATACATAATTCTGTGTATCGGTTTTTGATTTCGATGATTGGTGTTGCCGTGGTTACTAAAAATAGAAATTTCTGTGAAATTCTTTCAAAATGCTACTCCTCCTACAGTTTTGGTCTGATTTCAATATAACTTGGCACACAAGTAGACTACACTAAGATACATATTTCTGTGTATCGGTTTTTGATTTTGATTAACGGTGTTGCCGTTGTTACTAAAAATAGAAATTTCTGTGAAATTCTTTCAAAATGCTACTTCTCCTACAGTTTTGGTCTGATTTCAATATAACATGGCACGTAAGTAGACTACACTAAGATACATAATTCTGTGTATCGGTTTTTGATTTCGATGAATGGTGTTGCCGTGGTTACTAAAAATAGAAATTTCTGTGAAATTCTTTCAAAATGCTACTTCTCCTACAGTTTTGGTCTGATTTCAATATAACATGGCACATAAGTAGACTACACTAAGGTACATAATTCTGTGTATCGGTTTTTGATTCGATTAACGGTGTTGCCGTGGTTACTAAAAATAGAAATTTCTGTGAAATTCTTTCAAAATGCTACTCCTCCTACAGTTTTGGTCTGATTTCAATATAACTTGGCACACAAGTAGACTACACTAAGATACATAATTCTGTGTATCGGTTTTTGATATCGATTAACGGTGTTGCCGTTTTTACTAAAAATAGAAATTTCTGTGAAATTCTTTCAAAATGCTACTCCTCCTACAGTTTTGGTCTGATTTCAATATAACTTGGCATACAAGTAGACTACACTAAGATACATAATTCTTTTTATCAGTTTTTGATTTCGATGAACGTTGTTGCCGTTGTTACTAAAAATAGAAATTTCTGTGAAATTCTTTCAAAATGCTAACAGTTTTGGCATTTCAATATAACATGGCACATAAGTAGACTACACTAAGATACATAATTCTGTGTATCGGTTTTTGATTTCGATGATTGGTGTTGCCGTGGTTACTAAAAATAGAAATTTCTGTGAAATTCTTTCAAAATGCTACTCCTCCTACAGTTTTGGTCTGATTTCAATATAACTTGGCACACAAGTAGACTACACCAAGATACATAATTCTGTGTATCGGTTTTTGATTTTGATTAACGGTGTTGCCGTTGTTACTAAAAATAGAAATTTCTGTGAAATTCTTTCAAAATGCTACTTCTCCTACAGTTTTGGTCTGATTTCAATATAACATGGCACGTAAGTAGACTACACTAAGATACATAATTCTGTGTATCGGTTTTTGATTTCGATGATTGGTGTTGCCGTGGTTACTAAAAATAGAAATTTCTGTGAAATTCTTTCAAAATGCTACTCCTCCTACAGTTTTGGTCTGATTTCAATATAACTTGGCACACAAGTAGACTACACTAAGATACATAATTCTGTGTATCGGTTTTTGATTTTGATTAACGGTGTTGCCGTTGTTACTAAAAATAGAAATTTCTGTGAAATTCTTTCAAAATGCTACTTCTCCTACAGTTTTGGTCTGATTTCAATATAACATGGCACACAAGTAGACTACACTAAGATACATAATTCTGTGTATCGGTTTTTGATTTCGATGAATGGTGTTGCCGTGGTTACTAAAAATAGAAATTTCTGTGAAATTCTTTCAAAATGCTACTTCTCCTACAGTTTTGGTTTGATTTCAATATAACATGGCACATAAGTAGACTACACTAAGATACATAATTCTGTGTATCGGTTTTTGATTTCGATTAACGGTGTTGCCGTGGTTACTAAAAATAGAAATTTCTGTGAAATTCTTTCAAAATGCTACTCCTCCTACAGTTTTGGTCTGATTTCAAAATAACTTGGCACACAAGTAGACTACACTAAGATACATAATTCTGTATATCGGTTTTTGATATCGATTAACGGTGTTGCCGTTTTTACTAAAAATAGAAATTTCTGTGAAATTCTTTCAAAATGCTACTCCTCCTACAGTTTTGGTCTGATTTCAATATAACTTGGCATACAAGTAGACTACACTAAGATACATAATTCTTTTTATCAGTTTTTGATTTCGATGAACGTTGTTGCCGTTGTTACTAAAAATAGAAATTTCTGTGAAATTCTTTCAAAATGCTACTCCTCCTACAGTTTTGGTCTGATTTCAATATAACTTGGCAAACAAGTAGACTACACTAAGATACATAATTCTGTATATCGGTTTTTGATTTCGATGAATGGTGTTGCGATGGTAACTAAAAATAGAAATTTCTGTTAAAAACTCTCAAAATGCTTCTCCTCCTGCAGTTTAAGTCTGATTATAATATAATGTAGCATGCAAGTAGACTATACTAAGAACATAAAGAGACTTAATCAAGGATCATTATTCTTTTTATTGCTGTGGTAAAGTTTCAATTCCCAACTGCTTAAGAACTTTTCTCTTCCTTTGCTATAAGTACAAACCAGTAGAGCTTCAGTCTCGACAGAGACTTCTGGTTCCAGTTTGCATGCATATGTAAACAAAAAAATTATTGAAAGTTTTCAACGTCATATTCTTTATACAAATACATATATTTTGGTGTAGCATAGGCATCGGTGCCGGAAGGGGGTTCTTAAGTACACAAATGTTTTGCAAAGATATATAGGCATTGAAAATTGGGGCTTACCTTTGAGGGAGGGTGTCCACCCGAATAGGATTGAATGAGTGCATGTAAATTAAAAAGTTTTTCGAAAGAAATACGAGTAATTAATACAAATTGATTCTCTAATTTACTAAAATCTCATATGTGGAGCGCAGAGGATCAGAAACCCTTGACTTGAGAAGATGCTAAAATCTAAGTGTAGAGTTCTTGTTTTATATTTATTTTTTTCAAAGGTGTGTTATATCTAAATCAGATACTTAACATACAAAAATTATCTTTTTCATACTTTTTAAGTGATAAAAGTCAACTTACTAGGCCTAACTTATTATACACCCCGCTTGAAAAGCGGGAGGGCATAAAGTATTCGGTATGCCTGTCCGTCCGTCTGTTACGCTTTGGGGTACCTATCTCTTATCAGCAACTCCTCTCATACCACTGAATGAAATTTAATGAAACTTTCACAGAATCTTTATTACATATTGCCATTGTACACATTCTATTTTACTTTCTGATCCGACACATATTTTTGGTTTTTCACAGCAAAACATGGACACTGCCATTATATTCAAAGGCGGGGGTATCATATTGTGAGCTCATTGCTCACAGTACCTCTAGTTTGTGTGTTTTTTTTTAAATTTTATAACATGATGAAGCTTTTGTGAGTTGATGGTAGTACCAATGACGTCATATTTTGTGATTTGTAGAACTTATGTATAATGGATCTCAGCTTGGATTTCTCGAGTCTCCTTTGATATTTGGTACAAATGGAAATGATTGTTTAAAATGGAAAATGGCAGGGTCTGGAAATGTTACAATTCTTGTTAGAAGCTACGATTTGAAGAGGGTCTTTGTGATGAAATCCTATCTCTTGACAGAAAAGTACATGTACGTATATATTTTTTTCTTTCCTCAAAGTGTTTGCCTTGTTAAAGGGGAAGCAAAGTTTGAAATTGATAGATGAAGTCTCAAATACTCTTTTATACTTTTTACTAAATCATATTTCAAAATGAACATCATATTGATAAAACCTTTAGTTATCATTCATTGCTGTCTTGATTGCAGAAAAAAGTTTTAGAATTGATAGCCGAGTGCCACTAATTGTATAAAAGTATGAGAATGGATGGGGTTGTTTTTCTTATCGATGTCAATTTCTCACTTGTGAGGCTTTTTTATTTTCCGTAATGATAAAAACAAAACCAAAAATATAACAGGAACTGGATTTCCGGTGCGTTTACGATAAAATTTATATCCTCTCTTGCGTCAAAGCTTTTCGTATTTGACCAATTTTTAGACAGTTTTGTTTACAACAATGCCTAGTGGGTGATGTTTTGGTTTGGGCTGTTACCTCTTTATTCGCCTATTTTGTATTTATCAATTGGGGACTAACGGTCCCTGACATAAAATAATAATCAGAATTGTATTTATAAACATTATATGATATTCCTTAACATTAAAAACGATTGTTTTTGTTAGTGTTTATTATTGTAAACCTTTGTAATGTTGTCTGGTTATTCAGATTTGTGTTCGGGGAGAGGAATACTTGTGTTAATTATCTCCTCGCAAATGATTTGGGGGGGGGGGGGGAATGTATATATAGTAACGTGTTTGTGTGTATTTTAAAGCTGTAATTTGCAAGGGATCTATGAAAAATGCTGCTTTGATTCATAGAAAGTGGCTTTTGCAAGAGATGCTCCACTTTGATATGACCTTCTTGGAACTTTTGTCCAATCCCTACATATTGTCCATGAAATATGTTCAAAACAATCTGTGTATCGTTCATAAGTTTTTGCCACACTTTCCAAGTCATCCATTTACATGTAGCACAGAGACATTCTGCATACCGGTATGTTCTCAAAACATCTTATTCTTAACACATATTTCGCTTGTTCAGGTCATTTCCTATTTATTCCTACCACGACTAAATTTCAGACACTTCCAATTCGAAAACTTATTTTATCAATTTATTAATCCTTGACCTAATTTAACAGGTTTTTCATTGTTTCATGAGACTTTCTCTCCTCAAAATGAATCGTTCCAGACGTCTTTCATCAATACTCTATTTTGTAGACCCCTCATTTACTAGCATTCATCAAAAGATCCACACGACATTTAATGACTTTACAGAGGATACATTAACTCTTTGTTCTGGTTTAACTAAACAATTAAATCAGAGACCTCCGAATTTTTCTCTCCGAAGTCTCTTTTCAACCATAACCGGAAGTAGATGATACTACTGTTAAGTTTTAAAATGTAAGGTAAAATTTGAGGAATAAATGAGTGGTTTACAATAAATAGACCCGACGCAGGATGCGTGACACGAATTACTTTAAAGGGATAGAGTATTTAGAATTAAAACGTTTTTTTTTTAACCAGTTCCATGTAGATTCATGAAACAATTCTGAAACATGTTCGTTTATTATCAGACATTGGTTTTAATAATAAGGTCGTCTTTCACAAAAGTAAAGTGTTTTTATATAATTATATATATATATATATATATATATATATATATATATATATATATATATATATATATATATAAATTATGGGACGTGCCAGAGATATGGACCGCGTTCAAACCGCTGCATTTCATTTCCGGAAATATGCGTAGCATTTCCGACATTTTTTTGTTTTCATTTCCGACATTTTTTTTTTTTTCATTTCCGACATAATTTTTTTTTTCATTTCCGGAATTTACCTGTGCGGCAATTCAATGTTTTCTAAGTAAAAGAAAATGGAATTTTAAAACTATTTATGCCAAAATTCAAATTAAAAAAACATCTATACATTTATGCATACATATAGTACTAAGTCTAGATAAAAGAGTTTAATGAGCATAAAATTTTTCACCATATTAAATTTGCACTAAATTAAATGTCAATGACAGCACCATACTTATGTCCAAATCACTCATAGATTTACAAAATTGGATTTTAATGATTTATTTATGATTTGTTCCTTTAAATTTTTCACAAGTAAAGTTATCAAATTCGTTACTATAAGTACTGAATTGTATTTGAAAAATTTCGGAAATGACAACAAAAAAATGTCGGAAATGAAAAGTTGATAATTACCAAATATTCCGTAAATGAAATGCAGCCGTTCAAGCCTAATGATTTGATTATTTCTCCATGAAGGTTTTTATTCCCAATGTGTCGGTTTAAAATAATTTGGTAAAGATAAAAAAACCACACTGTATCTTTTTTTTAATGTCAAAATGATAATGATTGTTTTGATATGCTATATTTCTTGTCATTTGTAGGGAATACAGTTTAAAAATGGGAAAAATACATGTACCATTTTTTGTGCGTCTTCAGTTTTCCGAAGTTATAAACGAGTCTATCAAAATATCCGAAATTGTATTTAAATTTTGCAGATCAGGTGAGTTTTTTTCAGATCTATTGTTTATTTAAGTATATGTTTGATTTCTCAGCTGACACATGGAAATTTATTATTAATTTATTATTTTTCATTGAATTTAAATACCTGTGAACCTGTTTGAATAAACGTGATAGGCCTATCATTTGTTTCAGAAATTATTTACTTGATTTCTCTATAATAATAAACAACAGGTGTTACTGTTGTAAACTTTAATTGCCTTGCAAATTGTTCATGATGAGAAATTAGCAGCCTTAGGGATGGACATTCCTCATTGGTTAGCGTAGTTAGCATGTATCTCAATTATTTCATTTATTTATCTAATGAAAATATAACGAAATGTACTATGTAGCCTTTTAAATAACAATTTATTTTTAAATCCACACCTACACATATTTACCTGTAAATAATGAAATCAGATTTAACGACTCAAACAATACACTAGTCGCTCAAACATAACGCAAAATACGATTTCTTTTATTGTTTTATTAATTATATAATTCTTTGAATTATTAATAGTTCATTACTTCATCAATAAACATATAAATGTGTAAATTCAAAAATAGAATTGAACATATTTAATTAGGACAATGACATGAAACATGTTTTAGAAACTGCAAAAGAATGTTGAAATTACTTGAAGCCCTGGGGCCCGTTTTACAAAAGATTTTACGACTAAGACAAAAAACGTAAGATTGTTGTAACATTTTGCAAAATTAATATTTCTCTTTGAAATTGTTTGTGTAAAAATATCATACCACATTCCTTTTAAGAAGTTAAAAATAATTTTCGATATACTGTTTATTAAAAAGTTATATGAAGAATTAAATTTGGTCTTAAGTCGTAAGTTCTTTTGTAAAACGGGCCCCTGATCTTACATTCCTTCATTCTTTTTTCTAAATTATATCATTTTGTTGATTACAGAGATTTTTAGAAATTGCACGTTTGAAGTGACCCCTGTGTGTCCCTTTGTTGATTCCTTTAATGGTTGCAGGCTTACTAGGACACATGGCGATCCACACAAAGACACCAATGGTAAATCAGGATATCCAAATTAATTTTAAAATTAATAAAAGGGCATTGAAATTAATTCTTTCTTTATTGTTACTTTAAGCTTTACAGCTTATCAGTACAAAATAATACAAACAGTTTCAGTACAGAAGTGAATAATTTACAGGAGAACAATTCAGATGTATTTTTGTCAATAGAAAACTTAATAAATTTATTAATCAAATTATGTTGAGAGAAATTTATAATTGAAACACAAATTAATCAATAAACCAATCGTTATAATGGCCTGTAATATATGCTTATAAGGATTTTAATTGTGTGAGACTAGAACAAAATTAAATAAAAATGTTTCATTACTTAAGGAACAGTTTAACTATATATAGTATTTTAACAATGTGATGGGCAGTAAGGTTCTATGGAAAAAAAATCGCATTTTGCCATGCAGACCTCTTCTTCTTATTGTCTTAGCGCAACCAGCTCAATGATAGCTAATCTTGATCATTCACGTAGTCGCCAATTTGATAAAAATTAGTGTTTATTTTGTCTTATACTTACAATTGGTCGATATTTTTTTTTCTTAAATCTCTGTATCTGAGAACGTCATTTATATTTTGTTTAAATAGAAATCGTGAAGCTTTAATTTCATCACTTTTTTATTACACTTGCTAGGATTTTTTATCACTACATAACTAAACCTGTTGACATCTCTTACTGATCAGTGTCCACTATTTCTCATTGCATTGTTTTGCATGTATACTATAGTCTTAAATGGATTTTTTGAAAAAAAGTTTTGTGTTTTTTTAAATTAATTAAGTCACCTCAGGTGACCTATTGCTATCCATTTTTGTCCGTCGTCCTGCGTTAAAATTTGAACATTTTCAGCTTAGACTTCTCTGCAACTGCTCAACCAAATTCAACATAAAGCATCTATGGGTAAAGAGGAATAAAAAAATGTTAAGTGGTCGCAGGGACCCCTGGGCCTGAGGGGTGGGGCCTAAACCACTAAAATTAGTGCAATCTTTAAAAATCGTCTTCTTTACTCCTGGACATCAAGCAGTCAAAATGTTGGTATGATTGTAATTAGCATTGAGTCATCTACCAAAATTGTGAAATTCATGGCCCCAGGGTCAGGGGTTCTATACTGCTAGGGAGGGGCTAAATAGATTATATGGTGAAAATACATAAATTCTTTAAAGGTGTTCTTTTCAGCTCCTGGGCATTAAATAAAGTAACCAAGTACATAAGGCTGTCTTTTCCAAATTTGTGAATTTCATGGCCCCTGGGTCAGAGGTTCTGGTGGGGCCTGAATGATTATATAGTGAAAATGCATGAATTCCTTGAAAATCTTTTTTCTTTGCTCCTGGGTATTATTCCAATGATCTAAGTACATATCTAATATGAAGAAAGGTGTCTCTTCCAAAATGGTCAATTTCAGGGCCCCTGGGTCAGGGGTACATGTATCATATGGGGGGGGGGGTGTTACACAGTCTGAAAATAAATTAATGCTTTGAAATCTGCTCTTTGGTATTAATCAACTATTTATGATGAAATAAAATTTATGATAAAATTTCCAAAATTTTGAAACATGTAGCCCCAGGGTCAGTTGTTCCTGTGGGATGGGGTGCATAACTGGTTATAATGGGAAAGTGGAAATGCATTTTCTCTCTGTTACTCTGATCTATCTCTTGGTATTGCTTAACCAGAGTGAGCATGCTAAGTGTATAGTTATTATAAGCAATGGTGCCTCTTTCAAAATTTTGAATTTCATTGCCTCTGGTTTTAAACATGAACGAAACTCAATTGTTGGAAAGTTGTAACGTGATACTCAGTTTACCTATAAGGCCCGTGAGCATCTTGTTTTACAATAAATTCTGTCTTCAAATAACTTGTAAGGAGTAAAATGATGCTTGTTGGTTTGAACAAAACAACGAGGAATGTCTATTGTATAGGTATTGAGACTTACAGATCCTAATGGCATGACAGACGCTCTCTCTCTCCTCTCTCTCTCGTACTTGTTTCACAGAACTAAACTTACTTTCTTGACGATCCTTCAACAAAGAAAATGAAGGTGGGATGGGAAAAATGTTTTCAGTTGAAGTATCGTAAATATAACATTTGTGTTTTACTCTTTTTCAGAATGGATGTTAGTAACACGGAAGGACTATTGCAAAAGCGTTAAGGAGCTTACATCATCTTTCAAAACAGTGATATTTCCACCCATACTTGGAAGAAATACGTGCCAAGTAAGTGTCATACCTTACCTCCAATCCTAGAAGTCCATAAGTCAGATCGGAAAGGGAACGAGACCCTCCCCCTCCCCCCGCAAGGGATGTTTTATGATCTTGATATTAATCCTGATTGTAATTTACAAGTAAATGTTAATTTATAAAAAATATTGTCAAGTAACTTTGAACCTGACTATCCAGTACAGACAGTAATGAGAGAATTAATGGATAACTGCTACACGAGTACAATTTCTTGCAAAATCTTGTAAACGCGTTCGTACTGAAAGATATTAAGAGCTGGAGAGTTCATTTTCAATGTTTTAAACTAGGAGAATTGATTTCTGCAGTCAACAAATCATATATATAATATATAATAATGTTTATTCCTAATTGTCAATTGTTTTCTCATCACTTTGCATTTTTAGATTAAAATGATTTTAGCTATATGATTTTGATTATCATTATCTTTGACTATCTGAAAATTCTCATATGGACCATTTTTAGTTTGAAATACATGATTTGTATAATCTTTCTGAAAATAGGATTTTATATTCGGTTATCGGTATGATCATATATTATCATATATTATCTTTTGTTATCCTTCGTATTCCATGTTCTTTTCCAGATCGAAAAAGTCTAACTTCACGTACTGATATCTGCTTGAAAATAAATATCAAATGTGTATGTTCATAAATGCTCCATTATTAATATTTTTTTTAAAAAAGGCATATCTATTAAGCACAATATAAAAGGAACTCGTTTACCGACATAAATCCTTGCAAAACCTCAAGAATTGATTATCATTAGGAATCCAATGCGTTAGGAGAGAAATAATGTATTAAACATAATACCCCTTTACAGATACTGTTGACAACTTATGGAAACTTGAGGTGGTACTGGAGAATTTGCTTCCTTGACAACACCTGTAGTAACAGAACAATTCCAGCTGAAATTAATGCCACACCATCTCTTCAAACCTACATCTTTCCTGTCTCAAACATCTCTCAGAGGTAAGACAACACAACACGAATCCTTACAAAATTCAATGTAAAATTACATGCACTTACAAGATGCCAGAAATGAAATTGTTGTATAGTTTTGTGCTTTATTGCTTTTAAGAACAGTTTAATTTATCCTACAGATATAAACTTGAATTCAGCACTGTTCATCTGGATAGTATGAAGTTCCTAGGAATCATAAAAATAGCCTTTTCAGAAAGTTGTTTTCAAAGTAAGTACAGAAACGGTAAAATGTTATTGTAACTAACATTGATCCATCTCATCAATATGTTATATCGCAGGAGTTGTCTATAATGCCAAACACCGTATTTTTGGTTTATTATGAGAAAAGGTCTCTACAGCAGAGGAATATGTAAGCTTCAAAGACCTTTCATACACAAAATCTGCCCTTGAAATTTTGAAGACATATTTGAGATGATATTATTTATTTCATATAGTTTATTAGAATCAATTATCCTGAACACGAAAAGATAAGTGTTTTGCTATCTTAGAGTATCTTTTTTTCAGATTCCTCGTCTTCAGCATTGATTCCCTTAGATTTTACTCAAAGAGATGGGATTCAATTGAAACCTAGCATTTTTATGGTTATTGCAGTTTTGGTCCTATGTTTACTCGTTCTGTTTATTATCTCCCTTGGCAAGTACACTTACATTAACTTCTTATGTTTATACTAGTATCATGAACAATGCATATGTATCAATATACTCAGTAGTTTTAATTGAGCTTTGCCTGTATGCATTAACACTTATCAAAGTATATACACTTTTACAAAGTTTACGGAACATTAAATATTGTAAAATCAAACATAAATGGTCCATTTCCTTGTTAATTAGTAATTACTCAGAATATGCACAATTTTATAATCATAGAGTGTTAAAAATATATATTTTATGCAAATCTTTTTCCCTTTTAAATTCTTTGAAAGTATTGTCGATTCTTTCATAAATGGATTGATGCCATATCATTACACAGGTATAGCCAGAAAAAGACGAGGATTCTGCCCACATCTTAAGCCTCCAGACTCTACTGACAAAAAAGTGTCAATACACGACTTTTTAGCTACAATGACTGTAGAAAAAACTTTGGAGAGTATATTAACAGAAGGGAATCCAAATTATCGATGGTATAGTCACAGATTGTTGAAAGGAACGATTGTTGATATAGATAAATCACAAATTCAAATACATACGTAAGTACTTCATAGAAATTATTCAATTGATTTCTTAATTAATATAAACTTTCTGATAAACAGTGTCTTAAAAATTTGTTACAATTTAAAATAAAATCAAAGCAGGAATGTAAAATAAATGTAAAGTAGAATCATTTTTTGAGCTTATTAAGATTTGTTGTATTATCCGTCTTAAGTTTGCTAGGGAGAGGGGCATTTGGCGAGGTCTTTAGAGGAATTCTACTAGGAAAAGAAAGAAACGGGAAAAATACGGATATCGCTATAAAGGTATATCAGTTAATATATATCCTAATGAAAATTAATATATACAATTTATATTCATGTTTCCTTACGTAAGTTCTATGGTCGATACAATGACCTTGTCAGCAAATTATCATTGAGTCAAATGCTGACTGACGTTTTTTATACTAATTGTTTGTCCATTATTTTTTAACTGAATTGACGACGGATTTTTTCGTTAATTCCTGATCATGACAAGGAGCACACGGCGGGTGTGACCGGTAAGCAGGGGATGCTCACTCCACCATGGCACCTGATCCCACCTCTGATGTTTCGGAAGTCCATGTTTGCTCTGCTTCTATTTTGTATTGTCTTATGGACTTTGATATTGAAGACAGATCGTTATCTACATATCCTTCTTTCTGTAAACTTCTACATGTTCTATCCAACCAAAAAAATTTTTAGAAAATTCTCACATGATGAAATCTTTTAAAACATTAATTTTGTCTTCATAATATTCATTTAATATTTATATTGAAAAATTTTGTATTTTTTCAATTACTTACATAACAAGAGGTACATAGCAGGCAATAAAGTGTGAATTACAGTATGTCAATCATCCTTTATTGATAGTTAATGCGTAAATGATATGTTAATAGTGTAAATTTCAGTTGCTAGGTCTATGTTTCTTCGTTCTCTTCAAATACTTTTTATTTAAAATTATAGTAATTGAAGAATTTGTTTTAAGTGCTTGTACATAAAGGTCTAAGATACAAATATATTTTGAAAATTCAAAATAGGTCATGCATTTTACTTCTGTTTAAGCTTACCAATCTTATAAGAACTTATTTTAGGTTTAATATCTTATGACCGGTCCTAGAGTAATTAGAGTTAAGTTCTAGAGGTTAGGTCCACTGAACTGTAATGGTGTCGTTCTGCTGAATGACTGCACCTTGTTACATGTGTTTGAATCACTATCAAAGCCTGTCCTGTGTATTTGTTTAGCACACTAACAAGTTCTCGTGGTGGTATTTGCTAGTTTTCCACTGGGATTGCTGATGTTCTCGGTGGAGGACTTGGCGTGATTAACAAATTCCAATATAAATGACAATCCTTTTTTTATAGAGGTTATCAAAAAGTGCAGATCAACAATCTCAAGACGAATTTTTGTTGGAGGCTTTGATTTTATTGTAAGTCTTAAATATTTCACTTCGTATATAGGTTTGAACAGAGCATGTGTTGTAATTAGAAAAATATGGAAATAAGTAACCATTGTTCGTGTTGCTGCTAAAATATAACATCTATATAAGGATATTGTGAAAAACAAATATTCTTAATTAACTTAATTATTTGTATGAATAATGCTCTTGTGTAAAATATTTTTGTAGTTCTATAGCACTTGATAAAAATACATAGTATCAGGGACACTTACATAACTTAATAACTCTTAAAAGAGGTTGGTTCCTGTTATACAAAGTATTAAGGATTTTTATCGATTATATTTTTAGAATCTACTTACATACCTTAATAAAAAATAAAAACAAAAAAAATGGGGGTCTGTGCACTTCTTTTAGGACTACTGATCCATTAATATGACTTTTATGGGCAATAATTACGTTTAGCAAGTAAATCAGGTTTTTCATTTGATATTCTTTATTCTAATTAATTATTGAATCAAATACGGTCTTTATTCATCCTAAAACGTCAAATTAAAATTGTGACGACAAAAATAGTTTCAAATTACTTTGTATAGTCAATAATTTGACCTTTCTGCACTCCAAAAAGTATAACTGTATGTAATATAAAAAAAGTATACGAATAATTTAATTTACAGACTAGTAAAAGCAATTGTTTTAAGCTTTCTTGATTTGTCCACTTCAATATAAAGGGTCTCTCCTTAATTCTTCTATAATCTAAAGACGAGTGATTGAAACGACGATACTTTTTTCATCAGGAGTTGAATCATTAAAAAGGACATATTAAATAAAATCTAGTTTTATTGCAGCAAATTTCAACACAAGAACATTGTTAGATGTTTAGGAATTTCATCTTCGAACGGAGTATATATGATACTTCTTGAATTGATGTTGGGTGGCGACTTGAAAACTTTTCTACGAAACACAAAGGATAAAGAGGTACTTCAATTTCATAGCTGTTTAAACAAAAGAAATTTTTAACAAAAATATTGTAATGCCTTTGTTTTTATATTATTTTATGTGTTCTGACTACTGATCTGGTAGACGAAAGAAAATTGCTCACATGGGTTGTGTCTTTCGAAGGGGATGTTTACTCCTCCTAGACATCTTATCCTACCTCTAAAATTTCTGTTCACACATTTGTTATGTTTATAGTATTTCAAGACCGATCACTTTAATTTTTTCTTCCTTATGCATCAATTAACTACATGGTGCTAATCCTTCGAATTTGACAGGTTATTATACAGAATTAGGAAGCATGATCAGAGACAAAACGGTTAAAGGAATGACTTACTTCACAATAAATGACACTTATATGAACACGTAAACATGGTTATGTTATTGAAATTCTTACCGAACACGTATAATTTTAAAACAATGTTCATGTACATTTAATTCAGACACAGAAATCGACCTTGAAGATGTCTGAACTTCTGCGTCTAGCGGCTGATGTTGCATGTGGCTTGAATTACTTGGAATCCCTTCATTTTGTTCACCGGTAAAGAAAGTAAATAGTATCAGTGATATTGAAAAATCAAAATTTGAAATATATTGATAACATATTTATTGTTTGTTTATTTGCAGAGATATAGCAGCTCGTAATTGTCTGCTTACAAATTTAGGACCCAATCGAGTTGCAAAACTTGGAGATTTTGGCCTTGCCAAAGATATATTGTTGTAAGTACAGTAACTGTTTATTATTAAAAAAGGAGGGGTGAGTCATAAACGGCATTTACAATGTATGATTTACTATATTTTGTAGGAAGGACTACTACAGAAAGGAGGGGACCGCCTTACTTCCCATTCGATGGATGCCCCCAGAGGCGTTTCTTGAAGGATATTTTACATCAAAATCAGATGTTTGGTAATTTATTTCAGTGAATTGGTAGAGTGCTTTCGTGTATCCTATTATATGGACTAACATTATTTAGCATTTAAATCTAAAACATTAACGATACGTATTTCGAGATGATTTTCCTATTTCCAAAAAAGTTTTCTTTATTAAACGTTTTTTTGGCATTTTAAGAATCAACTGAAGATCTAAAAATAGTATGAATATACTATATAGTTTTGTAATAGTGAAACGGATGGGTTCATAATCTACATGTACAGGGTCTCTCTCTCTCTCTCCTTTAAAGTTCTTGTCTCTCTTTTAATCTAAGTCAACGTATTTTTCACTTTAATTCATTTATATTCTTACCTCATCTTTTTATTTTACAACATAGGGCGTTTGGTGTTTTAATGTGGGAAATTTTCACGTCTGGGTTTATTCCTTATCCTGGTCTCCAAAATAATGCAGTGATGACATTCGTTACAAAAGGAGGTCGATTAGAAATGCCTGTCCTTTGTACTCCATCCATGCAAGTAGATTGAACTTACATGAAATTTATCCTCTTTATTTCATTCAATACATGATTGTATGCCCAATTATCTTTCATATTTCAGGGCATATACACATTATCAGCATTAAAGGCATTTAAAATTATACCCTATTAATTTTTTTTTCCAGCTATGATTTAATGTGTTGTTGTTGGCAAAGTGATCCGATTGAAAGACCCTCATTTCAAACAATACATAGATTTTTAAACATGACTTACAAGGTAAGTTTATCAAAGCTGCAGAGGTAATAATTTTGTGTGTGAGGGTGTGTATGTTTTCAAATTTTTGATGTAATAATGTTACTTTGCTTCATTTATTATAAACCCTATTTTTCAGAAATTTCAGAACGAAGAGTCGGCAAGCAGTGAACAAACTGAAGAAGACAAATCCTCCCCAAGATATTGTTCAAAGGTCTTCAATGAGGAGGAAAGCTCCCCACTAATGTTAATAGACGAAATTTGTAGAGGAGGGATGTGACATCAACATTCCTCTTGTTCAAAAAAGTTTGAATCTTAAAACGACTGCATATAATTACAATTTACCTTTTATTTTGAAAAGCAAATTTGATTATAACAGTCCTTTAAAAGCTCAATGTGTTCTTCAAATGCTTTACAATTTTTTTTATCGTATTTGTTGTTATTGTTGTTGTTAAAATAAATGATTTATTCTTGTTATATTTACGTGTTTGTAGTCAGCGAACTCACTGAATTAACACGTTTGGAATTTCCAATATACTATATAACCACTTTCTGGAAAGCTTCAGTTAATGACCTCATACACCGCTGTGCAGTTTTCATTTTGAAAATGCCAAAATTTATACCTTATTGACTTTTAGGAAGATAACCAAAAAATTCTACGAAAATATTATGTTCCCGGAAAAGATAACAAAAGAAATGATAAATACGCACAATAAATTCATTTCAATCAATATTTATTACATAAAAACAATGTACGATGTAGTAAGAAATTTAATATAATATTATTTCCTTTTGTCTATTAATTAATTATATATAAAGAATTGCAATGTGTGTGGCAATTAATTTCCAAAGGTTTTTATTGGTAATTTCAAATAATTTTGAGCATTTGCTTAAAAGTACTAGTAATATTTTACGTATTTGCAAATTACAGATTATTTTTAAAGAATTGTTAATAAGCTGAAAGGCGCGCCTATAAAAAATGTACTGTTTATACAATGTCCGTTAGAAACTTATCATACATATAGATTTATTCTTTAATGGTCATAAAAATTAGGAAAGTACGTAGTTGCAGCAAATCCTGATTTCCTTTATGACTGGTTGTGGCGCATATCATCTATTCTCTTTCACTCCAATCTGCATGTTATGACTTCATTGTCATTTATTTTGCATCAATAATTACTAGAAGCACTTACATCAGCTTGCAGATTTATGTTCTCAAAAACTGCTTAATATTTAGGCCTAATCATTCCAATTTTTGAACGCAGTTGATACATATAATGAAACAATTAATCTAGAATTTGTACCAGCTGACAAAACAGGTAACAAAGTTGTTGTAAGCTAAGGATCATTATTTAAAGTGTAAATATATAGTGGAACTGTGATTTTATTCTATTAGTGGCAATCTAATTTAAATTCATATCTCTCTTTTTAAGAAGGCCATATTTCAGTCTTCATATTTCTAACTTTACCAATGAGCAAAATTAATTTGACCATACATTTAAGGAATGTTTTTAAGTTTTGTGTGAGTTATTGGTGTGTGAATCACACAGTCTTGTCACGTAGGCATATTTCGTGAGGCGCGCTAGCTTAACTTAAAAACATTCCTTATATTTACATTTTACATGTTTAGAAGCACCAAATACATACTCAATATTTGAATTTCTCGCTTCCCTATATCGTTATTCTTTTACTAACGTCGCCGTAGCCTTAATGTGACGTCACGTTAACGCACGTTTCTCCATGTATATTTCTACGCTTGAGTATACACAAAAATGGTTTTCAAATCAATTTCACTGTTGGCTTAGTAGAAAAACACAGCGAATGTAAATATTTACCTATATTACCTTCTTAAACTTCATTAATATCATAAAAAGATGCATAGTGGGTTCCATTAAATGCTCTACCAACCGGGACCTTTTTTCTTTAGATATGCTAGACAATATTGAAGGAGAAACTTCTGTTTCTCTTACCCCGTAAGTGGAACTCTTTAATGTGTAGTGTTTAGAGCTTCTTTAAAATGCTGCTTATAATTGACAGTTTCTACATGAATGTACTTTTTTGAGATCGTGTCTTTCAACTGTTGTATACGTATGATACTAAGACGCCATATTAATTGGAACTCTTTTATTACGAAGATAACAAAGTAATAATCAATTCAAACAACAAATGATTCATATATGACATCTTCCTTTTTCTAGATAAAATTTTAACTTTAAAGATATAAATTTAATTCAATGCATAACGCTTACAATTGTACAGAGACATGTTTAAAATGACTAGACTTAAACTGACTAGATAATCAAATGACAATTGAATATGTTAATATTACAAAATTAATGAATGAAATTACAATAATAAAGTGTTTTCTCCATTGGATCCTCCTTGGAATGAATAAACACAATATGAACACATTCACATATAACAGAATTTCACAGATTCACATCACTTTAGCCTCATGCACACAGAAATCACACGCAATCCTTGAATCTTTCTGGCTGCTTTATTACTCTGCCTGATCTGGTTGTGACAGGGTTATCGCACGGACTGCTGGTAAGTGAACACTTTTGCTGATCTGGAACATCATCTGTAGACTGAACGGTAGGTATATCTTCCTGTACATAAGGTTCGACTGGTTCTTCAACATGAATTTGCGCTTTTGTCGGACGGATATGCTTTCGGTTTCTGCGAAATTTGCGTCCACTGTTGTCTTGTAGGATGTACGATCTTGGTGATGCATGATGGTCTGTGACAGTTGCTGGACACCATTTGTTGTTATTCCTCATCAGGACATTTTCATGCGAGTTGAGGTCTCTGAGTGGTGTTTTTGAGACATGCTTGTCAAAGTTGATTTTCTGCTGCCATTTCCTGGTTTTTAGTCTCATGTTGATTTCCTGAGTCATTTTAGGGTTATGTAGAAGTGGTTCCGCTGTTGGTATGTCTGTTTTCAACATTCGGCCAAGAAACAATTGTGCGGGTGATAATCCTAAGTCCTCAATTGCAGTGTTCCTGTAGGCTAGCATTGCCTTGTAAGGGTCCTTAGCCTTTCTTAGAAGATTTTTGACAGTTTGGACGGTGCGTTCTGCTTGTCCGTTGCTTTGTGCAAAGTGTGGGCTGCTGGTCTTGTGAAGAAATCCATAGCTTCTTGCAAAGTTGACAAATTCTTTACTTGAAAACTGTGGTCCATTATCCGATATCAATTGGTCTGGAATACCATATTTCGAGAATTGGCTCTTCAGGTGAGTGATAGTGTTGGTGCTGGATAAATTTTCCAGTCTGGCTATCTCAGGCCATTTCGAGTAGTGGTCGATTGTGACAAGATAATGTCCTCCTCTGTACTCGAACAAGTCTGTAGATACTATGGACCATGGTCTTCCAGGTGTATCTGTGATAATCATCAGTGATTCCTTCGGATTCTGCTTACTGTTCAAAGCACAGATACTACATCTTGAAACTTCCTCTTCTATCTGTGATGCCATTCCAGGCCAGAAGAGTGATTCTCGTGCTCTTGATTTACACTTTACTATTCCTAAGTGTGATGAATGAAGAGTCTTCACCATCTGGTTTCTCATCGCTGATGGAACTATGACTTTGTGGCTTTTGTACAGAATGCCATCTATACATGAAATTTCTTCTCTAAAGTTCCAGTATTTGTGAATGCTCTGTGGCACTTCTTCTTTGTTATCTGGCCATCCATTTTGGACAGTTGTTTTCAGGGTTTGTAGTTCTAGGTCTTCCGTTGTTAGCCTTTTGAACTGTATGTATTCCTGAGGTGTTACTGCAAGATATGCTAACTGGTCAACTGAAATATCGAGCTCTAAGTCTTCTTTCGTTTCCGGTAAGAACGCTCTGCTGAGTGTATCAGCTAGGAACATAATTTTTTCCTGGTTTGAACACAACATTCAAGTCATATTTTTGAAGTGAGAGCAGTAGTCGCTGTAGTCTAGCTGGAGTCTGGTATAGAGATTTCTTGGAGATTGACTGTAGCGGCTTGTGATCTGTCTCCACTGTGACACTTCTTCCAAAAATATATTGATGGAATTTCTCGCACCCAAAAGAAATAAATAGTGTCTCTTTCTCTATCTGCGCATAGTTCTGTTGACTTTTGGTAAGGGCTCTGGAAGCGTATACGATGGGTTGTCCTTTCTGAACAAGTGCTGCCCCCAGTCCTTTTGAGCTTGCGTCAACTGTGATAGTCAAAGGTTTGTTCGAATCGAAATACCTCAACACTGGTGCTTGACAAACCATTTGTTTCAGTTTCAAGAAACTATTCTGCTGTTCTTCGTCCCAATGCCAACTTGTGGTCTTTTCTAAGAGCTGACGAAGTGGAGCGCTGACTTCAGACATGTTGGGAAGAAACTTCGAGAGATACTGAATGAAGCCTAGGAATGTCTGTAGTTCCTGAGTACAAGTTGGTCTGTTCATTTCTGTGACAGCTCTAATTTTCTCTTTGTCCGGTCTCACTCCTGCTGAAGTCAGATTGTGTCCCACATATGTAACTGTGTCCTTTCGGAACTCACATTTTTCTGCATTTAGCTTTAGATTGTAGTGTCTGATTTTGTCCATGATAATTGCAAGTCTCCGGTCATGCTCCTTGAGGTCTCTGCCCCACACTAGAATGTCATCAATAATAGCTTCACAGCCGTCGATTCCTTGTACCAGTTCTGAAATCTGTCGCTGATAAACTTCAGATGCTGACTTAATGCCGAATGGGAGTCGAGTAAAGCTATACCTCCCGAATGGGGTATTGAATGTACACAACTTGCTACTGGCTGCATCTAGGCGAATCTGCCAAAATCCTGAAGTAGCGTCAAGTTTTGTAAACACTGTGGCTCCCTCTATCTCTGTGAGAACATCCTCTATAGTCTTTAACGGGAAATGTTCCCTAAGAATTGCTTTATTTAAGTCTCTGGGATCAATACATATCCTGACTTTGCCGTTAGCTTTTGTCACTGTCACCATAGAGTTTACCCATGGAGTTGGTTCCTGTTGTTTGATGACAACACCTTCACGTTCCATGCGGTCTAATTCCTGTTTGACTTTTTCCTTAAGGGCAAGTGGTACTTTTCTTGGTGGATGTATGATGGGCTGAACATTAGGATCTATCCTGATTGAGTGTTCCCCTGGCAGGCATCCAAGACCTTTGAACACATCCCCGTATTTCTTCTGAATGTCTTTTGGAATGTTTTTAAACGCTGCACTTCCTATGTCTAACGTTTCCTGTTTCACTCTGTTGACCGACATCCGCTGAATCAGATTTAGCGTTTCACATGCCTTTGCACCAACTATCGGTTTTGCTTTGATGTCAACAACCAGAAACTCAATGTTCTGAACTCTGTCATTCACTTGGCACGCGAGTGTTATTACACCTTTTGGTACAATTCTGTGTCCTGAATAAGATTTCAGAGTGTTTCTTGTACTTCTGAGTTTATGGTGTACGTCAATTTTGTTCAGTGTGCTGTACGGCATAACATTACACATTGCACCTGTGTCGAGCTGGAATTTCACTGGTTTACCATTTACGATAATAGTCTGTGTCCACTCTAGATCTTCGTGGTCTACAGAATTCACATGCGATTCCATCTGAATTCTCCCAGCATAGTATTCCTCTCCTTCGTCACTTGAATACTCATTGTCGACAACATGTACAGTCTTCTTAGTCCTACACATTTTTTTGAAATGATTTGGCTTCTTGCACAATCCACACGTTTTTCCTTTGGCTGGACATGAGTCTTTTCCATGCTTGTATCCACAGCGTGTACACATTTTCTGATCATCACTATGTTTTCTCTGTTTAGTTTCACTGAAGTTTTGTCTCTTTACAGTGTCATAACTATGAGAGTGTTTGGATGACTTCTTATAAGATTTCTTTATCAAGTTTACCTTGGAATCCTCTCCAGAGTTGTGTGCCATTGACTTTGCTTGTGAAGTTGACATTTCATGCAGACGAGCGATTTCCTGTGCCTTCTCTAGCGTAAGGTCACTACCTACATTGATCAGTTTTTCACGTATTTTTGTGTTGTTGATGCCAATCACGAGTCTGTCTCTGACCATATTGTCGGGTTCCTGGTAGTTACACTCTTTCACTAACAGTTTCAAATCAGTTACAAACTGGTCAAGAGTTTCTCCTTCTGTCTGAGTTCTGCTATGGAACTTGTATCTGTTGTAAATAATGTTGGTTCTGGGCTTGACATAAGCTTCGAATTTATCAAAGTGTACCTTTAGTGTCTTTCGTTCCTCTTCGTTTAGATTCCATGTGAAATATATATCACGTCCTTTCTTGCAAACCCAGATCATCAGATATGCGCACTTTTCGTCCTCAGTTTTCTTTTTCAGGGGTCCCGAGAATGCGAAGTTCACGTGCTGCAAAAACGATTTCCACTGGCCTTCCAAATCATCACTTGCCCAGTCCATGGCAGGCGTTGAATCCGACAACAAATCCATCACTCTCTCCCGTCTTTTTCACAGACAGGATAACCGTCGATGGCTTGTATTTGTGAGACTGTTTTCAGATTACTTCTGACACCATGTTGTATACGTATGATACTCAATCGCAACTTCTCGGGCCTTTCCGACTAGCGGAAAAACGACCTCGAATGTATATGGTAGTCGCCATGACAACCCTCCTTTTTCACGATCTTGGAAATAAATGCATGGAGACATTTTATCTGTGGAATATGGAGTTAAACTTTATTCAATGTAATGATATTACCTAAAATATACCATAGAAGGGACTTCTAACTACGTCTATCCTATATTTGAATAAACAGGAAATGTATAAATTTTTAACATCCGGTGATGTTAATACATTCGAGGTTGTTTTTCCGACCTCTGACGGAAAGACCCGAGATGATGCGATTGGTATGATACTAAGACGCCATATTAATTGGAACTCTTTTATTACGAAGATAACAAAGTAATAATCAATTCGTACAACAAATGATTCATATATGACATCAACAAACAGTCGGAATTCCCGTGAAAATCAATTGCATACTATTATTAGAACACCATTTTTTACAGTCAAATGAAGCAGAATTTGTTCAAAACTTTATCAAATGAACATAAGAAGAAAAAAAAGAAATAGTTGTGGGTTTGACTTTGACAATGGGATATATCGAAGAGGTATCATCAATTAAAACTACATGAATAGTTTCTTCAGTTCATGTGTCGATTCAGTATGTCCCCGTGAACTTGAAATTAAAGATAAACAGTGTCTTACACATCTGTTTCATTTAAGGATATTTTGCTATAAAAAGAAAAGATTGGTAATCTAACAAAAACACTTAACGAGATCTTAACGACTTGGTTTTTTTTTCTCTCGTCGTCTTCTCTTATCTACCAACGATCTTGCAAAATCGATGTCTATAAACGAGACCGTTATATCCTTGTTTCCTCAACTTGTTGTCATTAGCTCGATTTATGAATTTTTTGTAATCATAACCTTTTACATTCATACTTATGGGTGTACTGCTAAATAAAAGTAAGGCAAGTCAACGATAGAAAAATTAAACCATGATTTAATAAAATACAATGCTATAATAGCACTTTTTTCCTTTTTTCTGCTTCGTTTTTCTTTCATTGACAGTATTATTATATTATTTTTCATATAAATTCTTTTAGATGTAGCACATTAATTGGATAAAAGATTTTTTAAAAAATTGAATAACATAAGTTGCCTACGTCCCAAAACGTAAATACTCCGCTTGACGTAAAACGGTAAATTTGAAAATATGCTCAATTTCAGGCCATTTTTGGAGGAAAATTGTCTTATTTTCTACGCTGAAATTAATTGAATCGATTTTGAATAAACATCACAAGATATTGCACATTCATCAAAAGCTATAGAACATGCATCGCAAGATTTTGCATAAACATCTCAAGACTTTGAACATACATCACAATATTAAACTGAATACTTAGAAAGAGGAAAATTTGATCTTCTTCTTCTAAGAAACACCTTCGCCACAAAACATTATAGTTCCTAATTTCTAAATGTTCTCGGTATGGAATTTATTCATACGGTCTTAATTAAGGAATGTTTTTAAGTTTTGTGTGAGTTATTGGTGTGTGAATCACACAGACTTGTCACGTAGCCATATTTCACAGTTGACTTAGTAGAAAAACAATAAAAATTACGGCATTTTATAAGGTCTTTCCGAGAACTTTAAAGAACCTTGAAACACACTGAGAGTTATAAAATGAAAATTGTTGCATGAAAAGATTTGATTTTTAGGTCACCCGAGTAAACTCAGGTGACCTATTGCTATTCGTTTTCGTCCATCGTCGTTTGTCGTTCGTCATGCGTTGAAATTTGAACATTTTCAGCTTCTTCTCTGAAACCGCTGAACCAAATTCGACCAATTTTGGCAAATCGCATCTATGAGTGAAGGGGAACAAAAATTGTAAATTTCATGGTCCCTGTCCCCCTGGGGCCTGGGGGTGGGGCAAAAACCTCTTAAATTAATGCAATCTTTCAAAATCTTCTTCTGTACTCCTGGACATCAAGCAGTCAAACTGTTGGTATGATTGTAATCAGCATTGAGTCCTCTACCAAAACTGTGAAATTCAT